AACCAGCTTGACTCCGTGTAAGTGTAACGTGACCGAGAGGAAACCAACTCGGGAGGCGGTAGAAGTAATGAACTTATTGAGAGAAGTATGTACTCACCATTGGAAGGTATTATGAATAAAGATGACAACAGCTTGTGTTCGTTTCGATTTATTAAACGAATGGTGATACAATGGTCGGTTCACTACGGTAACTCCCTGAGGGTGGAGATCCGCAAAAATTCTCTAAGTTTAAAATTTCTTTGAAAATTTTCTAAGTTCAATCTCTTCGAAAAATTTTCTAAGTTCAATTTTCCTGGAAAATTTTCTAAGTCCAAATTTCTTCGAAAATTTTCTAAGTCCAAATTTCTTTGAAAAATTTTCTAAGTCCAATTTTCCTCGAAAATTTTCTAAGTCCAAATTTCTTTGAAAATTTTCTAAGTCCAATTTTCTTCGAAAATTTTCTAAGTCCAAATTTCTTTGAAAATTTTCTAAGTCCAATTTTCTTCGAAATTTTTCTAAGTTCAATTTTCCTTGAAAATTTTATAAGTATAAACTCGGCGATTTATTCTAAGTCCGAAACTCGCAATTTATTCTAAGTACAATTTCAGAAGGTAGTGGTTAAGTTGAGCGGAGGAGGAAGACCAACCTCTAGGTGAGCTCAGGATAGAACTGACGTTTTGGTCCAGTGCATCAGCTTTTATCATCCGCGACTTTTCCAAAACGTAAAGTGGGAGAAATTTCTTAAGAGAGAGGGTCAGTTTGCGCTTGCGCTTCTTATCTTTGACTCCGCGAAATGCGCGTACGGTTCACGCGTTTCGCTTGAGCCAGAGGTAAAGTCGCGCGTCTCCTCGCGAGTTTCCCTCTATCTTCAAAGATTCTCACACATCCCTATTCTAATTAATTCTAAAACTTAATTAACAATTAAAAATAATAACAAAACGAAGTTCTTAATACTAAAGTGATAATTTAATATTTATAAAATAGGTTAAAATTATTCTTATACTTACGTAGTAATTATTATACCCTCGTAAGAATATATAATACCACGTATGTTGAATAACTTAAACTATTAAAATATTAGATTCCTCCTATATCTATATATGTTCCTGATTTAATATATAAAAATATAACGTATAGTGTGACTCGCGAACATCCATAATTTATAAAAAATAAATTGAAAATAGGCGCGGAAAAACACCAGGGTATTAGGAACTGAGAGAAAGTGGCAGGCGAAGCAAAGGGCCTGACGCGCCGGTGGTAGTGGAAAGCAAGTGAGTGGTAGACGGGAAAGCGTAGGCGGCGCGGGGAAGGAAGAAATTGGGCCGTACGCTTGGCAGCCCGCCAGCGAATGAGGGAAAGCGACGAACGTAGTGAAAGGGACGAAAGTGAAAGGGAGGCGCGTGAGGAAAAAATGGAGGAAAATGCAAGGAAAGCGCGTGGCCAATGGCTCGGCCAAAGACAGGGCTGCATGTTAGAATAAGAAGCACCCGATTTTCTTTACGAAAATTCTGTGTTTCTCTATTCTTATGCGCCCTTGTTACTTCCACCAGTGACGGTATCAATACTTTTCCAATCACTAATATTCTTTTACAATTTTTTAAAAATGAAACTTCATTTATTTCTATCCACAATTTTTTTTATTTTAACATTATTTTAGTCATTTTAAAACATTTTTATATTTTTGTCTATTCATTTTTCAATCACTTTTAATATTATATAACACTTTTTGACCAAAACAACAGTTTTTCAATCACTAAAACACTTTTCTAATCACTATAGTTCTTTTCCAATTTTTTAAAAATTAATTTTTTTAATTTCTATTTACAATTTTCATTTACTTGCTGAATTCATTCTGTCATAAAATTTTTAAACAAAAACTGGTTTTTAATCACTTTCTGTAATGGTTTTTAATAGGTTAGCACTTTTAATTTATTTAAATTAATTTCCTACTAATTTTTTACTCAAACATTTTATTTTTTGCTTCATATTTTAAAATGCTTTTCATCTGAGTCAATGAACGAAACTGATGTGATTCATTCAAAAATTAATAAATTTTTTCAATTTGTTATCATAAAACTATTCTTGAAAAGGGTTTTCAAACAATAGATAGACAACAACACGTTTGTTTTGATTTTGAAGTAATCTTTGAGGCATTTACCTTCTCTCTACTCAAAGCTAAAAGTTATTATTTTACAATGGCTTAAATAATTCTCAAAATAGAAAAAAATCAAGATAATTCAAGATAATTGAAGATTTGCAAAATTCTTAATAATTACTATCTCAGTGCCGTTCAGAGATATAGCGCAATCACCTTCGGAACCATACTTAAGGGAAAAGGAGCAAAAATTACAAAATTTTTGGGCGCCAGGTTCACCAATGAGCCAACGTCAACAGCAACAGTATTAGCAAAACTATTGTTTTGGAGGAAACAAGACCCTCACGTTAATTCCTCTTCAACAAATTTTACTTCAAAAATTAATCACAAAATCAAACAGAAATTCTCGAATCGTCGAACAGAAGCGAATATCAAATCAAAACATCTAAAACAAAATTTAGTAAAAACTCTACAAATGATTTACCGGGTTTTCACAGCATAATGTTGCTCGGGCTAACTCAAAAAAAAAGAAGCATTGGGCAAGGGCTTTGGTGAGAGTATTTCCAAAGGCAAAAATAATAAAACATAATTAAAATTAACAAAGAAAATATATTCAATGAATAATAATGTTGGCTTTACAAATGAACTAAATATTCGCTCAATTCAAACTAAATAACAAAATAAAATTAAACTAATAATTTCCGACATAATTCTCGAATGTAATATTCGTCTCAATTAATTTACAAAAAAAAGCAAAATAATCAAATAAAATCGTGAAATTTCATCATAAAACAAAAAAAAATCTCTGCTACTCAACAAAATTTAATACGCGAAATAAACTAAATTTTAGCGCAAATTGACTTGGTTCTAAACTCACTCATTGCACACATTCGATTCTCTAATTATTTCTAACTAATTATTATGCGACATTTTGAATTTAAAAACAGCAAAAGATCAGGAGGGAAACCGGGAGACATTACGAAATTTTAACAAACTCATAAAATACATAATAAAGTCACAAAATTAAAACAATGATTCGCTATGAAGCGTTTTAATTTAAGCTTGAAATTAGAAATCAAATGACAAAACCAAAAATTGTCGCAAAGAAAAGACCACGAGGTCGAAATGTGGCGTCATTTCGAAAAGAAAGCAAGAATTCATATTCTCTACGCAAAATAGTCTAAATTTAATCAAAGCAAACAAACGAGAATTTGAGAATATGTATTCTTTTTAACAATACTGTCGACTCACCAATATCAAGAATTGAGTGCGGACGGGAAGCTTCTCGTCCTGGACACCTTTTTCGTCGGCAATTCGCAAAGAAGAAAATCAAAATTCGATAGGGAGAAGCCCACGAAACTTTCGCAGAGCGAGTCTAAAACAGAGATGCCATTAGGCGGAGGAATTTCATCCCCACTCTTGCGCCATTTTACATTGACTTAAATGTAAAATGGTGCAAGAGTGGGGATGAAATTCCTCCGCCCAATGGCATCTCTGGACTCTAAAACGCAAGTGCCGGTGCTTTTGTCACGTTTTCTCATTAATTCGCCGGTAGCGTCGTGTTTCCTAGCTAACCTGACCTACAGCGGTCGCGCGCGCCATTGTTTCGAGGCAGCGCCGCGGCGGCAAATTCATTCAAATTTGAAAATTACAATTCTTAACAATATACTTAGTAAATTAATAATTTTCGTTCAATAAAATATTCACACAGCAAATCAAATTTTATAATAACATAAAAAAATCTTAATTTCAATGAAATAGCGTAACAATACTAGCGCGATAATCTAACTTCAAAACAATATTCAAAAATAAGGAAAATTAAATTCGAAGCAAAATCAAATTAATAATCAATTAGAAAAATTGATCCAATAATTAAATTAATTAACAAATTAATTAATTAACAGAAAAAATAATCAATACTCAAAACAAATAAATTTTCAAAATTACAAAAGCAAGCAAAATAATAAGCAAAAGTTAAATTAACGCAATGTTAATTTCAAAATAGCAAAACAAGCAAAACAAAGCAAAATTAGTTTTACGCGAGCGATTTACAAATACGGTGATCAGGAACTCTTCTTCTGCTGTGGAACGATAGATTGGTAGGAGAGGTTGCCTTCCAAGGAACAAATACCAATTTCAAAAGTGTAAATGTGTGGCCTCAAACAGCCAACCAGAGCATCGAACAGCCAGTGTGGTGAATGGTTGGACAGTTAACCTCCAAATATCCAATATCGTTCCTCCTTCGGATCTCAGAACACAAATCCAAAAGAGAATCGCTCGTGACAAACATAAAAAAAAATAAAACAAAGCAGTATACAAAAGATAAAATAAATCGCATTTTATCGAGGTCGAGTCGCAGAGCAGAGATTTTCGCAGAAAAGTGTCCAAAAGGAGAAACCTATGATTTTTCTAAATTTTAAATTCAATTGTGACGCGACCCCAAGAAAGGTACCTAAGAATAGCAAACGAATTATAGGTTGGGTTCGAGTTAGATTTATCTTGATTAAAAGTTCATTTTTAATTATTTGAATTTGAAACCAATATTCATTAAATATTTTGAATATAATAAAGACTTGAAGACCAACAATTTTTAATTATTAATTGATTCTCTTTCTCTATTTTTACTCAAAAAATTTAAAACATAACCTCAAATTTTTTGCTTCTTAGGTACCTTTCTTGGGAACGCGTCACAATTAATTTTACTCGGATGTAACGTGTAAAAATATTCACGTTACAATAGTACAATATATTATTCATCATCTAGCATGAAAATAGTGGTTTTCTTCTCTCGTGTCTCGAACTCGGTTCCATTCATTTTTCAATCGAACGATAACTATCTCTCTGAAACAAAAATTATAAAATTGTAATTTTTTCAAATATATCAAGAATATGTATTTTTGCAATATAAATTTGACGTTATTTTCAGACTTAATTGTGGTGGTAGCATCAATGGTGGTGCTATCAGTAGGAAGCAACGGACAAGTATTCGCCACTTCGGCTATTCGAGGCATAAGATTTTTACAAATTCTTCGAATGCTTCATGTCGATCGACAAGGTGGCACTTGGAGGCTTCTTGGTTCCGTCGTCTTCATTCATCGTCAGGTACATTTTTCTCCATTTTATAAAATTAATTTCCCTTTATTTACACGATTTTATTCTAAATTTAAAAACGTATAAAAAATTTTATTTTCTCGAGAGCAAAAATGTTTGAAATACAAATGTTTTTTCATTTTTGCAGGAACTTATCACGACTTTGTATATAGGATTCTTGGGGCTCATTTTCAGCAGTTACTTTGTATATTTGGCAGAAAAAGATGCGATTGGACCAAATGGAGAGCAAAAAACGGATTTTGCGAGTTACGCTGATGCACTTTGGTGGGGAGTGGTAAGTTTAATTCGCATTATAAGCATACACTTTCTTATTAGTAAAACGAAACTTCCTTTAGATATGTATTTTTTTTGAAGCTCGAAAAAAAAATTAGATGCGAAAATTAAAAATACTCTATCTTATCTTTTACAAGAGAGTAATAAGAGTCCTTGTATATCAACTAATTAAAAAAAAAGAATTTTTCATTTTTTTCTTGTTTCCATTTTTAGTTTTTTCTTCTATTCATATTTTTAAAGAAAAAAAATTTATATTATAACTATCATTATTCATTGTAGGAAAATTTCACCGAACAATAGAATCCACTTTAATTAGAGGAAGTTACTGTCGACTAAAATATGCATTTAGCTCGCGCATAAAGCAAGCGACTGACCTTTTGATTTTCTTTATTTACGGAAATCCGGATTTTAGCTGAAAAAAAATAAATTGACCTATATACAGATCAAATCAATTTGTAATTCACGATTGATGCCTTTTTTTCCGAACAATAGAAAGAGCGAGATATTTACTAAATGCTTGAATTAATTAAATGAAAAAATGCGTTTTAGAAAGAGGGAAAATTTTTTTCCCTCACATATATGTTCATTAAAGAATTTTTTTTTATTTCACATAAATTGTCACTTTTTTATATTTTACAATTTTTTAGAATATTTAATCCATAATCTATTTATAAATGTAAAACGGTATAATTTTTGCTTTAGATTCGAATGAGTCAGATTTATTGAAATTTTTACAAGAAAACATAGACATAGACTCGTTAAATATCTTTAGATTGGTTGCAGAATGAAAAATTCATATTTCTTCGTATACAATTTTTAAATCGTGCTGGTTATAGAATCAACATAGTGAAACAGTTACGATTAAAGTCGAGACAGTAGTCACTAACCTTGTACGAGTTTTCTTATAAAATTGATAAGTCTCTTTTCCTATAATTATAAGCAACAATGTAAATAAAATTTTGTCGATTTGCAGTTTATTTTTATATTCAGTCGGTCGTAAGAACGCATAATTATTTATAGGTTATGTCTTTTGGAATTGTCAAAAGCATTTTTTAAATTATATTGATTCGAGAAAAAATTTTTGAAAAATGAAATGATTATAGATTTAATATTTCTGACAATCATTTTATTCATTAAACATTTATGTACTAGAAATGAGAATGTTTATTAAAATTTCTTACACAATTTTTTTTCATATCACTAAGAGTTGTACCACTTTAATGGGCTTTCTACAACAACGTTTCTTCGTCGATACGAATAAAATACACAAAAATGCACAAATCCTGTTCTTCCGGGTTGACGGCGCTTTCGAAAGTCGTAACGTATCTATAAAAATCTTGTTAGTTCGTGACGTTACTCATATGTCATGAACTGACGTTTTCATAGACGTATCTTGACTTTTTATTATTTTGATTACTACAAAGAAATATTTCTATATTTTAGACATCAGGGAGCAAAAAAATTAATTATTATTAATTAAAAACATCTTTTTCTAATGAAATATGTATTTATTTTTGAAGAAATTAAAATCATATTGAATCATGAAAACTAACACAAACGAATTAACTAATTTTGATATTCTGAATATTATTAATAATTAGCAAATGTTACGCACACTAGCGAGCGGAACGTGTTATTCAATTTATTATTATGTAAATTACAAAATTTTTTATTTTCAAATATGAATTTTTGAATAATTTAAAATTCAATTATTAACTAATTTACTAATGAATTATTCTCGTTTATTAATTTCGAAAATTTTAATAAAAATCTTCGCAAGAATTCAATTATTTTCATAAATAATAACATTCCATTCTTCGTAAGAATTCAATTATTTTTATAAATAGTACAATTTTTTGCATAAATTCAAATATTTTTAAACAAAATTTTAATAACATTTTACAAACAAATACAATTATTTTCTAAAATTTCAATAAATCCTTCGAAAGAATTCAATTTTTTCTTAATTCGTTATTAAATCTTTGCAAAAATTCAATTATTTTCAAAAAAATTTTACTACAGAATTCAATTTTTTTCTTTATTATTCAATTAAAATATTCTTCAAAAAAATTCAATTATTTTTAAAAATTTTAATAAATTCTTCAAAACAATTCAATTATATTTATGAATAGTAAAATTCTATTCAAAAATTATAAAATTATAAATTATAAAATTTTTCAAAAAAATTAAATTATTTTTAAAAATTTTAATAAATCCTTCGAAACAATTCAACTATACCTATTTATAAATAGTAAAATTCTGTTGTAAAATTAAATTATATTTAAAACAATTTCACGAAAGGTTTCAACTTTTTCTTAACTCGTTATTAAAATTTCAAAAGAATTCAATTATTTTCTAAAATTTTTGTAAATTCTTATAAATAAATAAATATTATAAATTCTTAAAAAAAAATTTAATTATTTTTATAAATAGTAAAATACTTTGCAAAAGTTCAATTATATTCAAAACAATTTCACGAAAGAATTCAATTTTTTTCTTATTCATTCTAAAAAAATTCAATGAAATTAAATTATTTTTTTAAATTTTTAAACAATTTCATGAAAGAATTCAATTTTTAACAATATTTTCTAAACTTTCAATTAATTCTTCAAAACAATTTAATTATATTTATAAATAGTTAAATTCTTGTCAAAAACTCAATTATATATTAACAAAAATTTCACAAAATAATTCAATTTTTTTTTCTTAATTCGTTATAAGATTTATCAAAAAGAATTTAATAATTTTCTAAAATTTTAATTAAATTTAGTTATTAAATGTTTAATTTCAGTTATTAACAAACACGATTATTTAAAAAACTAAAAAAAATTTTTTCATAAAATTTAATTATTTTCAAAATTTTTAATTAACATATATTATAAAAGAAAATCCATTGTTTAAAAAAATACAAAGAAATTCCATAAAAAGAATTTAATTATTAGAATTTTTAAAAATGTTAATAAAATTCTTAACGAGAATTCGATTATTTTCCTAAATAATAAAATTCTTCGAAGAAATTCTATTATAATCAAATTTTTATAACGATTTTGATAATTTATTCTATTAATTAATAACAGTTTGTATACGTTTCTATGAAAAGAAAACTGTTGTAGAAAGCTCCTTAGACGTTTCTGAGAAATTTAAGTCCTATGCACAATACATTCGCAAACTTGGAGCATGAACTAGAAGAGGTTGTTCGCAAACGACTTTTGCGAAGCTATTGTGCGTTGGCCTTAAATTATTATTTTTATTCTGTTTAGACCTTTTGTACATATAACATTCGCATACATTTGAGAATAGGTGACTTAATTTACAGTACTTACTTTAACTTTATACTTTACGTTCACAAACATGGATTTTACATCCTCCTTTGTCCTCATTTTCTGACTTTATGTATTATATAATATGTGTTGAAAATCGAATAACGATAAAAACAAATCACTTCATCACTATAAATTTATGTTTACTGAGAGACATTAACGGTCCATCTGTTTGTAAAGCATTATTATAACTATCAATATTCGGTAACCATGGAAACGTTTGCAAGACTTATTTAAAAATTTCTATTCCTGATAGTATTTTCCTCATCACTTTTAGTGTGTTAATAATCAAATTCATATTCTTCGTTATTTTTCTTTAATCTATTAGAGATATTAGTCGCATTCTCATTGTCTAAAATGTACATTAATAATGGTAATATTTCCGGAAACAATACCAAATACCAACCAATAGGATTTTATATTTCTGTCAATGTGGAGCATTAGATAGAAAAAGGACAGAACTATATATGTCCTTTACTTTCTTATGCATATCCGTTACCGCAACTTTTATCCTATGAAAAAGTCAAGTTTATTTCTGATTGAAAAACAGTGCCCAGCAGAAGTCTCTAGACTTCTTAAAAGACACATATATATATGGTATACTTGATTCCATAAATATCTCTGACATTTCAAAATAACGAAGACAAGTTAAAAATACAAGAACCAAAGTGCTGCAATCACCGAAACAGAGAAATGCATTAAAAATTAGTATGAGTGAAAAAAAATTATAAATAAGAATATGTATTTCATGTGCAAAACAAATATAGAGGGGAAAAATTATTTTTGATTTTTTTTTGTAAATTTCTAATTGTAATTGATCAATTGATATATTGAAGGGTGCTTTTGAGAAGAGAACAGGGGAATTCCGTTGAGTAACGTCTAAACATCAAGAGTTCTCCAGATTCACACACATGTCTCCACTAATATATATAATGCAGTGGCCTTTATGCTCTAATAGTAAGATAGGTGGCGTTGATTATTATGACAATGAAGCGTCGACGAACAATTTCATAGAGATAATTACAGCCCAGTTGTTCTTGTTCTCTATTACAGTAATCGATCGTTACCTTTATACCTCTCTTCGAAAATTGAGAGGAACACTGAGCATTCACTTAAACATCCTCACTTTCCTTATGACTGCGCTTTGATATTTACATCAAAAACTTTCAATGTATATGCGAATGATCGATTTTCTCCTCGAGCATTTTCTCACTCCAATACCTCTTATCACAACATTCAAATACTCTCTTTCAATTATTATATATATTCAATTTGCAATAATTCCTTAAAACGCCGGATAAAATCTTAAAATCTTAGATTAAAAATTATCAATGTTGTTGATGAAAACTATTGTGTCAATTCTTTAATTTCTTAACTTTTTACCTTTTTTCAGATTACTGTGACGACAATAGGTTATGGCGACACGGTTCCACAAACTTGGATGGGGAAAATTGTCGCCTCGTGTTTCAGTGTCTTCGCAATATCTTTTTTCGCACTTCCAGCTGTGAGTTTTCATTTTTATATATTAAATTTGTATTCTAATTTTTTTTCTCTTTTCCAGTCATTATATTTTAACTCTTTTACATTACATTGTCGTTAAAGTTACCGTCAGTTACCGTAAACGACATTTAGAAAAATGCTTTAAAATTTGCGAATTTTTTTGTTCATTATTTAAAATTGTGTTCAGTGTCAAGAGAATTAACAAATCAAGAATATGTTCGCAAGATTAAAAGTCCCAGCTGAAACGAATGATGAAAATCGACTTAAAATGTGCGAAAAAGTATTGTACTTTATCGTGAAATTAAAAAAGAACCAAATTTACGTACTGTTAAGTTACCAGATTATTCAAATTTTAAAGTAAGAGATCCTAACACAAGATCAAGAATTGATAAACAATGTGATTTTGGTTTTTGTGATTTAGGTAAAACGGGGTCACAACAATTTTGCGAATGACACTCTAAGTATTGTAAATAATACATTGAAAAAGTTTAGTAAATGTCGAACGAAATGGGTAGTTGACAAATCTCATTTTTTTAAGAACACAAATCATGTGAATCACTTAGTAACACATATTAAAGAAGATCTTTCAACAAAACAAAAAGAGCAATTAGTTAGCGAAATAATTAGAAACCTTCCTGATTCGACATCTCAGTCTCAGGAAAGTAATCCTCAACAGTTGAGAACGTCTTAAAAACATGGACGATCAATAAGAGAGTTTTTAAATTCACCAAAGAATGAAGGAAAAAATGGTAAATAAATATTTTCAAGCGAGAAGATCGGAAAGACATAAAGTTGCCAAGAAGATGGAAAATCGTATCTTAAACGAAAATCCAAGTACGTCACGAGAATTATTAAAAAGACCTGCGTCAAAGTATTTTCTGTTATTATTATAATTCTTATTATTATTATAAACACAAAAGTTATATTATTTAAATTATACAAGGTTATCTTTGGTTAAAATATTATTGCCTTATTATGTGTCAGTTCACCGACGGATATTTTAAACGAATTAATTAGTTCTTGAATTGAAGTTAAAAATTTAATCAAGGAAAAGCAGAAGAGGCGGAAAATTCTAGATGGAGTTTACGATTTCGATTATAACTCTGAGGAAAAATTTAAATTTGCAAAATTTAAGCTGTGTTTATCAACTAAAAATATTGTACAAGTTTTAAAAAAGAAAGGTGGGAATACTACGGGAATAATACGACATCTAATAAATCATCATAATGAAGAATACATAAAAGTTTATCTGGACTCTAAAAATGACAACGCACAAAATGTACAAAAATTGGCTTTCGGCCAAATTGGCTGAAATTTCGGGAAGATATTCTTTGAGATGTTCTGAACAAATTATGTATGGGGCAAATTGACCCAGAAAGAATATTTTTCGAGTTACATGGGGGTAAAATCGAGGAAAATATAAAAGCGTAAAGTATTCACATTTTAGAAATTCTGAGGTGCTATTATGTGACTTTACTCATCTGATTCACTTTTAGGGTCAGTTAAGCTTCTTTGTATTAGGAATATCAGTGAAGAAATAGTAAGAGTTAAATAAATGCGATTTAAGAGTGAAGTAAACGTCCAATCTAAAAGATAGTAATGTAGGATTAGGATAGAAGTGAATAAATGAATAATCTGATTAACTTTTAGGGACAGTTAAGCTTCTTTGTATTAGTAATGACAGTGAAGAAATAGTAAGAGTTAAATAAATCCGACTTACGAGTGAAGTAAATGTCAGAATGGTAGAATATTAATGTAAGATTAGGATAGAAGTGAATAAATGAATAATCTGATTAACTTTTAGGATCAGTTAAGCTTCTTTGTATTGGTAATGACAGTGAAGAAATAGTAAGAGTTAAATAAATGCGATTTAAGAGTGAAGTAAACGTCCAATCTAAAAGATAGTAATGTAGGATTAGGATAGAAGTGAATAAATGAATAATCAGATTAACATTTAGGGTCAGTTAAGCTTCTTTGTATTAGTAATGACAGTGAAGAAATATTTTAAGAGTTAAATAAATGCGACTTAAGAGTGAAGTAAACGTCCAATCTAAAAGATAGTAATGTAGGATTAGGATAGAATAAATGAATAAATGAATAATCAGATTAACTTTTAGGGTCAGTTAAGCTTCTTTGTATTAGTAATGACAGTGAAGAAATAGTAAGAGTTAAATAAATCCGACTTAAGAGTGAAGTAAATGTCAGAATGGTAGAATATTAATGTAAGATTAGGATAGAAGTGAATAAATGAATAATCTGATTAACTTTTAGGATCAGTTAAGCTTCTTTGTATTAGTAATGACAGTGAAGAAATAGTAAGAGTTAAATAAATGCGATTTAAGAGTGAAGTAAACGTCCAATCTAAAAGATAGTAATGTAGGATTAGGATAGAAGTGAATAAATGAATAATCAGATTAACATTTAGGGTCAGTTAAGCTTCTTTGTATTAGTAATGACAGTGAAGAAATAGTAAGAGTTAAATAAATCCGATTTAAGAGTGAAGTAAATGTCAGAATGGTAGAATATTAATGTAAGATTAGGATAGAAGTGAATAAATGAATAATCTGATTAACATTTAGGGTCAGTTAAGCTTCTTTGTATTAGTAATGACAGTGAAGAAATACTAAGAGTTATATAAATGCGATTAAAGAGTGAAGTAAACGTCCAATCTAAAAGATAGTAATGTAAGATTAGGATAGAAGTGAATAAATGAATAATCTGATTAACTTTTAGGGTTAGTTAAGCTTCTTTGTATTAGTAATGACAGTGAAGAAATATTTTAAGAGTTAAATAAATGCGACTTAAGAGTGAAGTAAACGTCCAATCTAAAAGATAGTAATGTAGGATTAGGATAGAAGTGAATAAATGAATAATCAGATTAACTTTTAGGGTCAGTTAAGCTTCTTTGTATTAGAAATGACAGTGAAGTAATAGTAAGAGTTAAATAAATGCGATTTAAGAGTGAAGTAAACGTCCAATCTAAAAGATAGTAATGTAGGATTAGGATAGAAGTGAATAAATGAATAATCAGATTAACTTTTAGGGTCAGTTAAGTTTCTTTGTATTAGAAATGACAGTGAAGTAATAGTAAGAGTTAAATAAATGCGATTTAAGAGTGAAGTAAACGTCCAATCTAAAAGATAGTAATGTAGGATTAGGATAGAAGTGAATAAATGAATAATCAGATTAACTTTTAGGGTCAGTTAAGCTTCTTTGTATTAGTAATGGCAGTGAAGAAATAGTAAGAGTTAAATAAATGCGATTTAAGAGTGAAGTAAACGTCCAATCTAAAAGATAGGAATGTAGGATTAAGGTAGAAGTGAATAAATGAATAATCAGAATAACATTTAGGGTCAGTTAAGCTTCTTTGTATTAGTCATGACAGTGAAGAAATAGTAAGAGTTAAATAAATCCGATTTAAGAGTGAAGTAAATGTCAGAATGGTAGAATATTAATGTAAGATTAGGATAGAAGTGAGTAAATGAATAATCTGATTAACTTTTAGGGTCAGTTAAGCTTCTTTGTATTAGTAATGACAGTGAAGAAATAGTAAGAGTTAAATAAATCCGACTTAAGAGTGAAGTAAATGTCAGAATGGTAGAATATTAATGTAAGATTAGGATAGAAGTGAATAAATGAATAATCTGATTAACTTTTAGGATCAGTTAAGCTTCTTTGTATTAGTAATGACAGTGAAGAAATAGTAAGAGTTAAATAAATGCGATTTAAGAGTGAAGTAAACGTCCAATCTAAAAGATAGGAATGTAGGATTAAGGTAGAAGTGAATAAATGAATAATCAGAATAACATTTAGGGTCAGTTAAGCTTCTTTGTATTAGTCATGACAGTGAAGAAATAGTAAGAGTTAAATAAATCCGATTTAAGAGTGAAGTAAATGTCAGAATGGTAGAATATTAATGTAAGATTAGGATAGAAGTGAGTAAATGAATAATATGATTAACTTTTAGGGTCAGTTAAGCTTCTTTGTATTAGTAATGACAGTGAAGAAATAGTAAGAGTTAAATAAATCCGACTTAAGAGTGAAGTAAATGTCAGAATGGTAGAATATTAATGTAAGATTAGGATAGAAGTGAATAAATGAATAATCTGATTAACTTTTAGGATCAGTTAAGCTTCTTTGTATTAGTAATGACAGTGAAGAAATAGTAAGAGTTAAATAAATGCGATTTAAGAGTGAAGTAAACGTCCAATCTAAAAGATAGTAATGTAGGATTAGGATAGAAGTGAATAAATGAATAATCAGATTAACATTTAGGGTCAGTTAAGCTTCTTTGTATTAGTAATGACAGTGAAGAAATAGTAAGAGTTAAATAAATGCGATTTAAGAGTGAAGTAAACGTCCAATCTAAAAGATAGGAATGTAGGATTAAGGTAGAAGTGAATAAATGAATAATCAGAATAACATTTAGGGTCAGTTAAGCTTCTTTGTATTAGTCATGACAGTGAAGAAATAGTAAGAGTTAAATAAATCCGATTTAAGAGTGAAGTAAATGTCAGAATGGTAGAATATTAATGTAAGATTAGGATAGAAGTGAGTAAATGAATAATCTGATTAACTTTTAGGGTCAGTTAAGCTTCTTTGTATTAGTAATGACAGTGAAGAAATAGTAAGAGTTAAATAAATCCGATTTAAGAGTGAAGTAAATGTCAGAATGGTAGAATATTAATGTACGATTAGGATAGAAGTGAATAAATGAATAATCTGATTAACATTTAGGGTCAGTTAAGCTTCTTTGTATTAGTAATGACAGTGAAGAAATACTAAGAGTTATATAAATGCGATTAAAGAGTAAAGTAAACGTACAATCTAAAAGATAGTAATGTAAGATTAGGATAGAAGTGAATAAATGAATAATCTGATTAACTTTTAGGGTTAGTTAAGCTTCTTTGTATTAGTAATGACAGTGAAGAAATAGTAAGAGTTAAATAAATCCGATTTAAGAGTGAAGTAAATGTCAGAATGGTAGAATATTAATGTAAGATT